GTGTCGTACCACGTCGATCTCACCAGGAAAATATCATGGTTTTTATATGCACTTTCTGTTTCCAATGTTCCTGAGCACATCTTGTCCAATTTTCAGACAAAACAACGCACCCGTTCTATCGCGACCTATGCAACAAACAAGAATGAATCATAGCATCTGTAAGAAACGAAGAGGAAGGGATAAGAGGGAATGATAGCGAGGAAAGGGCGTTCACACTCACAAACACATGATGATACTTCGAGCATGTGCTATTTTAAGACACGTTCATAGTGCACTGGTCCCCGGTAGCGGGGACAGGTGATCAAGAATGGTCGAAATGAAGAAATGTCAGGCATTCGTTGTGACAGAATATGTCCAGTAGCAACTTGGTAGTTCGCGCTGTGCTTATGCTGCTCGAAGTCTTCTCTTTTAGCTTCACATAAATAGTCAAACATCAGTTTATGCGTGGCTTGGTCACAACGAATAAAATCGCGGCTTAAGCTGCTTCACAGGAGGAAAAGGTGAAAATATTGCCAATAAAAAATGCGGACCTTTTGTCTTGTCAATGTGATCATCTCGTCAAGGTCATTCCATGAATTGCCCTCTTGTGAAAGGATCATCTTCAGTGGTTCTGACCAGTCGAAATTCGAACGACCTCCACACCATCGAGAAAGTTCCTTGCGATTTTGTGGAAGATAGTCAGCTAGATGAACCTGCAAACATTCTCTTCGTCTCTTTTGTAATAGATGGAAGAAATAAAAAAAGTAGAGATTGTTATGTACTGTATGTCAAACGAGGTTTTGAGAAGGAATAAATGGAATAAACTGGCATACAACACATAAATAGTGGTTACAGTAGCTACTACAAAAGGCCGAGGATTCAACAAATGACGGCATGGATTTTACTAAAATCATAGTAAATAACAAGCCCTGTAGGGGGTTTTAGATAGATGCTGAAACTAGATATTCTACTAAGCTCTCCAGCATTTTACAAGGTGCCCTTCTACGGGAGCCCTTTATTTAATCATTCATAAATGCGCATTCGTAGGTGCGCTACAGTTATTTCTCAGAAAACAAATCTGTTATGAATCAACATTGATTTAAAATAAATTCAAATTGAGCAACCGCACTCTAGCCACAAGCGGGAAGTTCTCAGACACCAGTTGTTTCAAATCAATATTTAATTCTGAATGAAACTTGAGCGCATGGCGCATCACATATCGATTGGCAACGTAAACAGTTTTGTAGTTCCTATAATTTTCCCATTCACAGGCCGAATCCCTAAGACGCATCGTACGAATTTAGGGAAATTTCCATATTTGGAAAAGGAACTTTTACTTGGGAAGCGGAGACGAATTTCACAATTTCCACTATTTCACCGGTTTGAGTTGAGATGATGCAGTAGCAAGTGATCCACTTATTACGCGCGCAGTCTAAAAACCTAGTCCTGTGTTCAATCCCGCTCAGCTTCGGAGGGACCTCCGAAGCCGGTTCATTGCTACTATATTTGCCCCTGGGATAAATACAGCGATATATTATACTTTGACTGAACCCACACGTCACTATATAGACGCGTCATTTTCAAAATACCATTGCAAGCTATATGTATGTGCAGGTAAAATGCATGGCGCATCTCAGGGAGTAATTAGGGCTCAGTCGTCCATCCTCTTCCGTTGTGCTTAGTTAGATGTTTACCTTGAGCCTTATGGGGCTGATGGGATTTACAAATAAATTTGAATAAAAGTTAAACTATGTGGCTGCGTAACTACGTAATTACCGTGACCCAATGTGTCTGATGACAGGGTTGATTACCTTAGAATTGAAAAAAAACCGTAAAAGCGCATAATCGTGATCTACTAAATGTGGTTCTTACGGCCATTGCACACCGCTTCGTTCAGTAAACAAGTAAACAAACAACATTGTGATTGTGAAAGCATGGTCGTACCTCAGCAGCTTGGTTGCGAAAAGAGGCGGCCACGTGTATTGTGGGACCAGCTCCGAAAATCCAGCACTCGTCCCACTTCGCCTATTCGAGCCACAATATTTGGCAAACAGGTAGTACCATTTGCATCGCAGGGTCCTCTACTTTGGCATAGAAATCCTGGAAAGAGAACTTTGTAAAATTTGAAGCCTCTGAAATTTTAGGAAGTCAGTCAATTGGAATTTCCACTAAGTTCATCCTTGATACTCACTATCTAAAAGTTAATTGATCTACGTCCAAACGTCTCACCTGAAGGTAGGCCTCGGTTTTGAATTCGGTGAGGAAAGTGTCCCTGTCAAGGATTTCCTCTGAGGGCGCGTCACTCACTGGTCTCATCTGAAGAAAGTAATAATTATCGAGTATAGCATGGATGTTTTTATTCAATAAACCGCCGGTGTTCTTGAGATTTTTGAAGGGAAAAAGTCCTGGGCTTGAATGATAGCACCATATTATGATGGGCTAAGATCTAGTAAAGTGAGAAAGAGAAATGAGGCTGTTCGGGCCGCAAGTGGAGAACAGTGCACGTCGAGAGTGGGAAAAAGATGGGCCTAGTTGCGATATCTAAGGTTCCGCCCGTCTCGGGCTTGTGTAAAGCAGAGACTAGCCAGAGTGACAGTGAAAAAGATTCCCCTCACTGCTCCGCAAAGAGCACCGTTGGGTGTGGTCGGGGTAATGATGAGCGGGTATAAGACAGAGGTAGGCGTGGTTTGAATGAATAACGAAATCCAACCCGATGATGAGCTGGGCTATTCACGACTGAACTCAAGTGTGTTGATCTGAGACGAGTAGACACACCTCTTGTGTGTCCCGCAACACGTGCGCCACGTTACGTCATTTGTTTCGCATTGATTGAGTGACAAGAACTTTCAGTTAAGCTTCCTCGTTGCCTAGCCATGTGCTCGATCAGATGACCTGAGGTTACGTGAACTCTTTCAGTTACGTGCTGAGTGCGATTGCATGGAGAAATCATCGCCTACACTTCCACTCGAAATATGTATAGAGTGCGTTCGCTCTTTCAAGTACTCTCCAAACAAACGATTCTTATCCTGCATCCAGATGTCTCCCGAACTGCAGAAGATGGTCTCTTGGTCCTGAGAAGTCTATCAAAGGGTTTTGGGATTTCAAGGCTTACCTCATCGTCAAAAAACTCTCAGACATATATGACAGTTGGGTTTTCAATTTTCTCGCGGATGTAAAAAAGCGTAGAAAAACAGAAGTTGGCCAATCCATTTTTGAGATGCGCTATGTACGCTACTTCCATTCAATCGTAATAGCATTATGGGCGGACTTTACTATACAAAGCCCCCAGTGTCCCCAAATGTGGTCACTGATCCGAAGATGAAGAGAAAAGCGGCTTAGAACCCAAAAAATAAGACCGCACTTTTGCTCGTTCGTTTCCGCACTGAGGTGAGTCTCATCAGTGCTGTCATCATCGACATTAAAGCTCTGCTGTGGCTCTCTGCTGAAACAGCGTCCGAAGGTAGATTCCGACGGCAAGTGGCAGCCGGTCTGGAGGAAGGGGAAGGGCAGTGCCGCGATGCTGCCTGCTATGGCGTTGTGGACGAACCCATTCGCACACGGACGCCTCTGCGACCTAAAATTATTGGGATCTCCCTCAAGTGCAATTTTACCCATACAATGTATTGCGGGAATAGCCAATGCATAAATCAGCGTTTTCATCCTCTCAGACAAGCCACAGAACCAATTAGCTGAAGTCGCAGCAGTGGATGGCTTTCCCCTTGACACCATACTGCCCAGAATTTGATCCCAGGAGCACGCGAGTGGTAAACGGCGCCACCTGCCACTACACCGCTCACGGATACTCCCTATGAAGCCAAATCGGAGAAAAATTCAAAAATAAAGAAGCTTAATTCGATTTTCAATTTAGAAAACCCAATTCAAGATTGATGCAGCACTCATTGGACTTCTGTTAGTGAACGCGTATCAGGCCGTGGTTGCTGCCATGGGACGATGTGATTAGAGTATAACATTTCATTGCTAATAAACCGCCTTTTTAGCTCAGCGAAGATTCCAGAATATTTTAGAATCAAAATGACCCTTGAAAGAGTAGGTTCAAGCTAAGCTCCAGTGAAATCCAGTCAACGTAAAGCTGTAAACCCTGAATGAGTCTGACACAGGCTATTTTAACTTATAGTATATAAGATAGCGTCACTTTCAGGCCAATTAGGCCATGGCGGTGCAATGCTAGTAGGGTGGGCATGCCAATTTTGAGTACGGTAGGAGCGAAATGTATGTGCGTGAACACTAATTCCCTCTGTTTTTGATTGTTAATTGCTGTTTTTGGCCGCAGTTTAACAAACTAATTCCCTCTGTTATGACGTAACGAGAAGGTATGGAAATAACTCACACATTTCAGCTTTCCACGCATATCAAGTGACTCACCTCTACCCCCGGAATTGGCTGCACTCCCCCTGACTAATGAACTTCTTTCTCCACACTGGAGGATGCAAAAGTGCTTCTTTCTCTCAAAGCTTATTGTATCCATTCTGGTGACATCATAGTAGTGATCACCAGTCCTAACTGGCACACTTCGCGCTTACCGTATTCCAAAAATTGGTGCCCACCTGACTAGCAATGTACCGCAGCGGTTATTCTATCAAAAGTATGATTCGTGCGAACGCCCAGCCAAATTGCATCTATTGGCAGCGTCAGCCATTTTCATTCCTTATTCTAGGCATACACTACACACAGCAAATATTAACACGTAGAGATTGCAGGGACGTCTTGCAAGTTCACACTTAAATCTGCACGTACATAGACGTCCCGTGCCGATGGGCAAAATGAGGCAGCTTGTCGAGATCAGTGACACGGCTTTGACGACGGCAAGATCAAAAGAGCCGTCAATCGTGATGATGTCACACTCGGGAAACGTGTGACGGTGTTCAACGGCTGCTGAGGGCACTGAGGAGTGCAGAATCGCGTTACACTGGTCTAGCAGATCATGCGTCCGATTTATGATCGTGTTTTCCTGCACTCAAAATACACAATTGTTTTCTTCGACTTACAACGGACCACCTGTGATAAACGAAGCGTGGCTCTGAGTAATCGAAAACAATGCTGAGGTGAAGCTGAACATGGTGGACTTTCTGCGTCCTACAGTATGTCTTCCATTGTCTCAGCAAAGGCCACCGAATGTTAGTGCGAGCAACAGGTGATCTCTGGGAATCTCCGGCTCTCAGTTATATCATCCTATAAATAATGGTTTATTGATTACTGCTGGAAACCAGTGAGAATCGTAGTTTCGCGTAGTCACGTATCTTGTGGGCCGACGTGCGCGTTTAGTGAGCGGTAGCTGTTGTGGTCTGTTCC